GAGAAGAGCTTGGTGCAGCCCCGTCCCCAGTCTATAGCCGCAGCCTGCCCTGCCCTGTGCAGATCTGGGGTGCATGTAGCAGGAGGAGCCGCACCCCCAGATAAGCTGCTCACAGCTCCGTCCTGTGCCCTGCTCCAAGCGACTGCCCCAGCCCCAGCTCCCTAGACCCACTCCCTCTGTTACCACTGCATGCATGCCCCTCCCCACCCCTGCTGCAGCTGCTGGAAGCCCACGTCCAGGTAGGGCCTTGTGGCCCTACCTCTGCCCATTGTCTGGGTGGGGGCTGAACCTCATTAGCCCCCACTTCTGCCACCTGTGAATGGCGCAGAGAAGCGGGGGTACCTGGGCGTGGGGAAGCGGCGTGCGGTGGCAGCCCCACCCCTCCACCTACCAAGTACCCCTGCTTCTCTGCACTGCCATTGCGTACCCCCTGGGGCCTTCCCAAGTACCCCCAGGGGTACACATACCCCAAGTTGACAATCCCCGTGTTAGAGCAAATCAGCAGCACAGTGTTATAATTTTAAAGAGCTGTAACAGTTGCTCTCTCCACACCCTCATTTTGACAAATTAGTCTAAGTATTCATCCTTTCTGCAATCCCCTCTCCTTGGTCTTTGCATTTCACTCAGCTTGGATATCAAGACCAGGCTCATTCAACTGCACTTTGCTTCCAGGAGGTCCTTCACAGGTCCGTACCTTGCAGTCACATTAAATCAGTGGTTTTCAAACTGTTTTCTGTGGAACACTGGGCTCTGCAATAGGTCATCAGGGGTTCCATTAAGAGACTAGGAGTAATGGTGGAGTGGGATGGAGGCAATGGGCCACCATTGCCTGGCCAGGTCATCTGGCTCTGCATCAGTCTTTAGGATAGGGGTGGGGGGTCCACAACAGAAGTAATATGAAAAGGTTCCATGACTTTGGGAAGTTTGAAAACCACTGTATTAGAATCACCAATGCTGCATTTAAATTAAAGTGTCTGACTCCAATATCAGTTTATACCTCAGGAAATTGCTGTCACAGTTGCTACACACCAAAATTATGCCTGTTTGAAATCCCAAGTTTTATGCCAATCTGACAGCTCCAAGATGGTTATGTTGCCAGTACTCAGGTGCCAGTACTTGGATGGCTCTGCAGTAGTAGGGTACCAATCTACAACCTGATAATCCTCTATAATTTTTAAACCAGTTTGAGGAATGGGGAGGTCTCCTCACAATCCTAGCATTACATACAAGTATTGGAGTCAGGGCAAGACAGCAGCCACACCACAAAATGCAGTCTCCCAGATTTTGAGAGGCCCTGTGCGTGCTGTGGCTTCTGGTCATAGCTGCTGTTGTAGCAATTTTGAAGGCATCTTTGACTTCCTAAAACACAGCTGAGGCAGCCAGTCTGTGTTTGGTGGGTGGTGTGATATCTATAGCTATTCAGTGTGGGTAGATTACACCGAGATACATATGAGTCAGTGTTGTAGTGTTTGGGAGGGCAATATTTGTTCTCTCAGCCAAGCCAAGAGCCAAAGAGAGGAAGTGAGCTCAGTCCTGTACCAACGGGTGGACCAGGGGACCTACTTACTTGTTGTGCTTGAGGTGCTCTCTGTTTTCCAGTCCCCTCGCTTTAGCTCCTTTTTTGGTGGGAAAGCACTTTTCCTGGGGGTATATTCATAAATCCCGCATTCTACTTTCCCAGGAGAATTATACAAATGGTGAATAGGCTCAGTGATTTCCAAGTCTAGACAGGGAGATGAAGCATAGTTCAGTCACAGTCAGGGTTTTCTCAAGTGCTGTAGACAACCATACTTCCATACAAAAGATTAAATGTGAACTCCCCCACATCAGAATTCAGAGTCCAGCAAGGAATTTTGTCCTTACAGCTCAGTTTCTACCAATGTTACAATGGGCTAGGGCAGCTGATCAACAGCTCTGCTCTTACTTGCAGGAAGAAGGTGATACTTCCAGGTGACATCATTCACATCAACATTCAGCACAGGGGTTGGCAACCTATGGCCTGCAGGCTAAATCCAGCCCACAGAACCACTGGATCTGGTCTGCAGAGCTAGGGCTTCAGCTGTGGGCACTCTCCCCATGCCACCATGGGGACAAGCAAGGGTGGCAGTCAGCTCCTAGCACAGACTACCTCTGACCTAGGGTGGGTCATTCTGGGTCAGAAGGTTATCTGTCCCTTCTTTAAGGTATCCAAGGAAGTGTTCCCCACCTTTGGGTGATACAACCACCTTTGGGTGACACTAGCAAATAGCATCACTATTCTCCCTGCACAGCAGAAGCACACTGGACTGAATAAGCCACTTTGTTCTCTAGCTCTCATCTCCAGGCTGATTACTGTGGGTCTCTACACAGCACAATGCAGTGTTACACAGAAATACTCAAGTTTGCACAGAACAAGCTGGCTTAGCTGCTGGAAGCAGTTTAGCTGTGGTAGCAAAGTACTCCACCCAGGTCAATGCCCTCTGCTTCTCAGTTCAACTGCTTGCTGTAACTTAGATCTAACTCAAATATCTCCGCACCATACTGCAGCATGTTTTGTACATGTGTCCTATGGTAACAGCCAAAGTAAGTCAAGATTCTTGTTCTGTAATTCAGACTGTCACTGGCTTGCTACATAGTGCTGGACAAACCATGGAATTGTTCTCTTCAGCCCTTCTGCCTCCCCCCCAGCCTGTAGAACAGTGGCACTGGACCAGTGCTCCATCCAGGGCACCCCTTGTAAAGTACGGGTACATGAGAAGCACTAGGGCAATGTTAAGGGTTGGGCAGATTATGAGACAGGCAGAGTGAGTACAACTACTGATTCAGATCTAGGAGTCTCAGGCCAGTAGGACTAAACAGAATGGTCCAGAAGACAATCTCAACATTCCCCTCTCCCCAAGAGAAAAAGCTGTGTTGTCAGAAAGGATCTGCTTGGCTTAACCTGTCCCCAGCATAAGGATGATGACACAAGAGGGGGTTGCCTAACACTGGGATAGACTAAGAGCATGGAAGAGGATGGCCTTATGTTTGTACTGTGTAGCCAGAAAGTTTGCAAGCGATTCAGAGCACATGGAGGCTGCACCTGGAGACACTGTAGTGTGTTTAAGACAGCCCAAAGAGAAGAGCCTGGAATGGATTAACAGATTGGCTGCAATATGGGGGAATCAGAGTTAAGGGGAAGGAGCCAGCTTTAAACACATTCCAGTTGCCCAGGCCTTCAGTCATGGCCCAGGGACCAGATGTGCACAGAGCAGCTGGAGGGGAAATCACACCAGGCTATCTTGTGCAAGTGTGCAGCTGAGGGGACTGAACATTTCAAAGCCACACATGTACTTACAGCTCTGTTGGAGCCACTTGCAGACAATTCAAAAGACTCAAGGAAATTCCATGTCAATCTGCCCCTTTCCAGGATGAGTATTTTAAGCACAACCTAAAAGGATCTGATTCCTGAGGGAAACCTCCTACCCTCACACCTGCGTGAGGCTTCCACAACACAGCAGTGCACCCCAGAGCAAGATGTCAGGGACATCCTGAGAGCACAAAGTCCTCCTTATCCCCAAGGAATGATGGGAAAGGGCTTCCTCAGCTGCTCCTGTCAACATCAGACATCCCTGAAGGGGCCCCACTGGGTTACCAGCTCTGGAACAGAAATCTCCTCTCTGCACCAAAGTCTGTGTGAAAGACTGATAACGGCACAGATCTACCTCTCCCAAACTGCTGCCAGTCCTTATACGATCCTTAGCTCTCCTATTCCCTGACTTCCCCATGCTCCTCTAGCGGCTCCATAAGTTTTACTGTAGCAGCCTCTCAGCACTCTCTGGCAGGGATAAAAAGAAATGGGCAGCAGAATTCAACAGTCATGCAGCGCCCTCAGGGATGCAGCAGATCCTTCTACGCCAGTCTGACTGCTCAGAGTAGTGGACAGACCAGCATGGTGCTCCCTGGCTGCAGCAGTAGAGATCTTTGTGAAAAGGTAGGGTTGGCTTAACCCTTAGGCGATTTGCAGTTTCCAG